AAAAAAAAAAAAAAAAAAAAAAACCCAAAGGATTATTAAAACCATATAGAAAAAGCACCAAAAAATTAGGTTTACTAGACAAAAATTTAAACAAAATTTACTATTTGAGTGAATTTTGATTATATCATCAAACCACTACATTATACAATTTGCTACCAATAATATGAGTGTTAACATTCAAATTTCCGTTATAACAAGTTATAAAAATAGGTTCGCAAAATACAGACTAGTTGTACCTAATATTATCAATGTATTATATCGCAAAATACCATGAAAATAGATGTACATAATATTTTGACAAAAACCCTTAATATTCTCAAATCCTATGTTAGAATTGGTCATTCCTAATAATCTTCTATACAAGCAAAATACTAGTTCTATCTACATTTGATTATCCTAGTCTTATACTACAAAATAGGAGTACAAAATATTTATTTTCTAATTGATATTCATTATATTCTTTTAAGGGTTTTTTTTATAACAATAAAAATTCCCAAATTAAATTTAAATTTTTGGATGGATGAGTATGTCTATTGTAAAACAAGAAGTTGTTTAAAGTATATTATTTCTCCCTTTTATTAAAACTAGAATGCATAATCAATAAAATTATAGAGAAAACAAGTTATTCAATTACATTTACAATATGGTTATGGTTTCCAATTTTCCTAAAAAGAAAAATATTTTAATTTTAATTTTTATTATATTGTCTTGGACTTGGTTAATTTTTATTCTTGTCAATCATTTATCAACAGTAATTTAGATGCTACTGGAATTTCATCAGCAGTGGCAACTTGGTATGGAGATCCCACTGGAGCTGGAAGTGGTAATTTCTAGAAAATCGATTTATTTTTTACACGATCAGTATAATTTAACATGTTATAACAATATGAACAGTTATCGATAAAAAAAAAATTGTGTGTGTGTTTAGGGGGAGCTTGTGGACTAGAAGATGACGTAGCAAAAGCACCATACAACGCGATGATAACCGCGGGAAATCAAGTTTTATTCAAACATGGTTTAGGATGTGGTGCATGTTATCAGGTACGTACGTACTTTCTTATAATAACGTACTCAGTATCGATCAGTCTAACAACGTCTAAATTCTGAATCTGTCGTTGTTCAGGTATTATGTAATCAAAATGAAGATGTACACAAAATCCAATAACAGTAACTCTTACAGATGAGTGTCCAGGAACATGTAATGATAATCCAATTCATTTTGATTTAAGTGGAAATGCCTTTGGAGCTATGGCAAAATTTGGCCAAGCTGACCAATTACGTAATCTTGGAAGAATTGATATTTACTATAAAAGGTGAGTGAGTTTCTTTATAATAAACTTTAAAAAAATTGTACAATATTATTTTATGAATTTAACTTATTATAAATATGTTAATAATGTAAAAGAATTTTGGGTGTGTTTTAGTAGTGCTACTTGTTTTATTTTTCATGTAACGACTTGAATTAGCTGCAAACTTCATTGCCAGTTTATTCGTAGCTAACCTAAATCCATCGCTTATTCAGATTAGCGATAAATTTTGTTGTTTTAACTACAAAATTTCTCTGATTTTTTTAGTAGTATTCTTTGGTTAATTCCTCTTGTGATTTTTTTCAGGGTGTCATGTGACCACAAGCAAAATATTATGTTTAAGGTTGAAAGAGGATCAAACCCTCATTTCTTAGCAATTGCAATTGAAGCTCAAAATGGAGATGGTGATCTTTCTTTAGTTGAAATAAAACATACAAATTCAAATGAATGGCTTCATATGCAACAAATGTTTGGAGCAACATGGTCAATAAATATTTATCCAGACACACAAATACCTCCTTTCTCTATTAGGTTAACTTCACAAAATAAACATCAAGTTCAAGCTGATAATGTCATTCCTATAAATTGGCAAGCAAGAGAAATTTACTATTCAAATGTCAATTTTTCTCCCTAATTATAAAGTTTTTTAGTTTTATTTTTGGAGGATTTGAGGAATTTTAGAGATTACAAAGTGAATTTTTGGACTTTTGGACTTCCTTTGTATACCTATACCTATACCTATATATATATATATATATATATTTATATATTACCTTAAAAGCATGAACTCCTAACTTGAATGTTAAATTACTATAATATCCCTAACTTAGGTTGTAACTTTTTCGACGAGTTGTGACTTTTTCGATAAGTTGTGACTTTTCTCAAAGGGTTGTGATTTTTCGATGAGTTGTGATTTTTCTGATAAGTTGTGACTTTTCCCAAAGGGTTGTGATTTTTCCAAAGAGCTTAGTTGTGACTTTTCCAAAGGGTTGTGACTTCTCGAAAAGGTCATGACTTTTCAGAGTGACTTTTCCAAAGAGTTGTGATTTTTTCAATAAGTTGTGACTTTTCCAAAGAGTTGTGATTTTTTCAATAAGTTGTGACTTTTCCAAAGAGTTGTGATTTTTTCAATAAGTTGTGACTTTTCCAAAGAGTTGTGATTTTTTCAATAAGTTGTGACTTTTTCAAAGGGTTGTGCTTTCTCGGAAAGGTCATGACTTTTCAGATAAGACACAAAAGGGGCTTCCTCTCATTTTTCAACCACAATTATTTTTAATCTTCTACTCTTCTTCTTCTTGTATTTAAATTTTTTGTGTGATTTATTGTCGTTGAGTGAGTTAAAAGTTTAGTGGAATATGAGGTACCACTATTCTGATGAAGTACATCGTTCTCTCCTAAGAGGGTATATTCTATAACCTCAAGTACTTTAGGAAAATAATTTTGATGATATCATTAATTTTTTCTTAATATATACATTAGTATGTAATGTTCCAATATATGAAGTTAACATGATGTAGTCTAAATTCATTTTGTTTTTTGTTAACAATTTCTCTTGTGATGTAGATATATGCTTCTGAATATCTTTTTCCAAAATTTAGAGAATTGTCACAATTTATTTTATTTTTTATGATTAAGATCAAAAGAATGACTTTTTTTTTATCAATGCTACTTATGTGATTTAGATTGTCGGAAAGTTATCTTCAAAATAGTTAATACTATATACTATATATTACCTTAAAAGCATGAACTCTTAACTTGAATGTTAAATTACTATAATATCCCTAACTTAGGTTGTGACTTTTTCGATGAGTTATGACTTTTTCGATAAGTTGTGACTTTTCTCAAAGGGTTATGATTTTTCGATGAGTTGTGACTTTTTCAAAGAGTTGTGACTTTTTCAATAAGTTGTGACTTTTCCAAAGGGTTGTGATTTCTCGGAAAGGTTATGACTTTTTAGATAACACACAAAAACATTTTGCCATATGAGTTGTGACTTTTCCGATAAGTTGTGACTTATCTCAAAGGTTTGTGATTTTTCGATGAGTTGTGACTTTTTCAATAAGTTGTGATTTCTCGGAAAGGTCATGTCAAATTAGACACAAAAACATTTGTTCATACTACCCTTTATTAACTATAAATAGAGGGGATTCCTCTCATTTTTCAACCACAATTGTTTTTAATCTTCTACTCTTCTTCTTCTTCTTATATTTTAAAATTTTTGTGTGATTTATTGTCGTTGAGTGAGTTAAAAGTTTAGTGGAATATGAGGTACCACTATTCTGATGAAGTAAATCGTTATATCCTAAGAGAGTATATTTTATAACCTCAAGTACTTTAGGAAAATAATTTTGATGATATCATAATT